CACACACACACACACACACACACACACACACAGTATGCACTCAATCAAACACACAAACACGTGTGTGTGTTTCTGTATTAATGCGTTGTCATGTACTTCCTCATCCGCTGCTTTTATTCTTAATATGCTACTTCATCATTCTGACTGCACCTGAACTCAGCAGACAGTGTGTGTGTGTGTGTGTGTGTGTGTGTGTGTGTGTGTGTGTGTGTGTGTGTGTGTGTGTGTGAGTGAGTGTGTGTACGTGTGCGTGTTCATATTTAGATGTACAGCTTCAGCATAGATGAAAAGAGCGACACCTGAACACTGTCTCCAATCCACAGTTTTCATTCTTCGTGAAATATTTGTCAGGTCAACAAAAGACAAAGTGAGGAAATGTACCTCAACATAAAAATCACTCTGGGCGAGGCAAAAATACTCGACAGCAGATATTTAAAAATCACATGACTTTAATCACTCACATGAAGGTCTGATGAAACACGACTGATTCAACCACAGTGAAACCAACGTTCAAGTGCCTGAAATCTGCGTTCTCTCTAACGACCTCTAGAGGGCGACTAGTCGAACCGGAGACGTCAATATGGCAGCTCACAAACCCATGTCTCTCTCTCTCTCTCTCTCTCTCTCTCCCTCTGTCCCTCGCTCTCCGTCTCTCAGGGTAAGGTGGCTCAGACGGCGTGCATGTCGGCCTGTAAACACATCTCCACCTCGCTGATGCAGCTGCTGCTCGACCCAGAGCTCCGACAGATCTCCATGGGAGCTCTGCACCAGCTCAACGCCGACGTCCAGGAGTGCGAGAGTGAGTGTCGACGTTCAGCTTCACACGTTTGTCTGACGATATTGTTCGATTGGTTTTCTGGCCCTCCTCTTTTTGTTCTTCCCATTTTCGTCCCTCTTCCCTCTGTCGTCATTTCTTTCTCTCCTCCTCTACTTGTTCACTTGCTTCTTTATCCTCATCACACAGATTCAAAGTTCTCTCGTCCACAACTACAGAAAATACACAAAAGTATTCCCGAGAAAACTTTTTATGACAGACAAATATTTCCGACTAAAATAACTGTTCAAGTGAACAAGCCTGAAAAGTTGAATGCGTGCAGTTTAGTTTTTATGGCACAGGGGGCGCTATGGAACAACCAGTTGCATAGTTTGGAGGAGAACATCCTTTATATCCCCTCTTCTCCTCCCCTTCCCCCCCCGACACTCACCCTTTTTTCTTTCCCTCCTCCTCCCTCTCCTCTCATCAGTCAATTGTTTTCTCATCCTCCTTCCCATCGCATCCTCACCGCTCTCTCCTCTTCCTCCCTCCCCCATGCATTCTTTCCCTCTCCTCCCCTCCCCTCCCCTCCCCTCTCCTCCCTCCATCGCCTTGTTTTTTTTGTTGAGGCGTATATATGCCGAGCGCTCAGAGATAAAGGAGGAGGAGAAATGAAAGAGTGCCAGGCGTCGTCGGCTCAGTTTTATTTTTTTTTACGTGATCAAGGTTCTTAGAGTCACAGTGCGGGTCACAGTGTGTGTGTGTGTGTGTGTGTGTGTGTGT